TTCATGTGCTAAGTAAATAATCTGAGATGCTACATTAAAATCTAGCAAGGAGGACTCATAACAACCTATGTTATGCAGATGTCATATCCATGCTTAATTAAAGTGAAGAGGATTTGAAGCACTTGCAGAAGGACAAAGGTTATAACTTTTGTTAAGGATTACATCTCAACATAAAATAAAATTTGTCATAAGTGGACCAATAAGCAGCACTAAGATAAATGGAGAAAAGACAGTAGTCAAGGATTTCATTTTACTTGGAACCATAATCAATACCCATGGAATAAGCAGTGAAGAAATCAAACTACCTATTGTTGTTATATACCAGTGAGTGGCTTGCAACTCATAGCGAACTTACATATAAAAGCTTGTCCTATCCTGAGCCTGCCTCACTGATTCAGGCACACCTATCTCCATTGGTCCAGTTACTGTATCAATCCATCTCATCTGGAGTCTTCCTTCCTTGTGCTGTGCTTCCACCCTTCCAAGCATGATGTCCCTCCCCAAGGTGTGGTTCCTCCCAGCTGCATGCCCAAAGTATGTGAGACGGAGCTTCAAAATCCTTGCCTCCAAGGAACAACTTGATTTAACCCTTTCCAAGACAGACCTGTTTGTTCTCTTGGCAGTACATGCTATGTTCAATAGTCTTCCATCCTCAGTCATTGTCCAGCTCTCTGACATATAGCAAGTAATTATGAAGAACATGGTCTGGATCATGTCTCAGTCTCTAACCTGACATCACTGCTCTTCAGCACTCTGAAGAGATTCCTGATAGCATATTTTTCTAACGCAATTTATCTTTTGATTTCCTGACTGCTGGTACCACGAATGTTGACTATAGAACTGAGCAAGCTGAAATTGTTAACATTCTCACTCTCTTCTACATCAATCATTGTCCTGCCAATTGGCCCAGGGGTAAGAATCTTCGTTTTCTTGAGCTTCAATCCATATAGAAGACTGAAGTTCTACCTAATTAGATTGGGAAAATCTGCTGTCAACAACCTCTTTAAAGATGTCACATTGAAGGCTCAGTTGCATCTGACTCAAGACATGATATTTTTCCAATGGTTCACATGCATGTCTGACAAAGAATAAGAAAGCTCAAAGAAGTGGTATCTTTGAAGCACACTGTTATCCAGAAATACTGACTATACTATAGACTGTCACAAGAAGAAAGAAATCTGTACTGGATGAAGTGCAACCAGATTGGTCCTTTGAGGTCAGGATGGTGAGACTGCATCTCACATACTTTAGCCACTTTATCAGGAGAGGCCAGTTCTTAGAAAATGACATCAATACTACTTAACCTATCTATAAATTCAACACAAATTCTACTAAAATTCAACAGTACCTTTGTTGTATCAACAGTTAAGCCAATTCTCAAATTCATGTAAAATAGCAAATGGCAAATGTTAAAATATCATTTTAGCATGTTAAGAGAATCAACTTAACTCATCGTCAAGTAGAAATCAATTCATAACTCACACTCCAGCAGGTTTTTAGAGGCTGTAAACTGCATGACAGGACGTTATTCCTCTTTCTCCCACACACAAAGTGGCTTTGAACTGCCTTCCTTTGGTTTGGCAGCAACTCCTTACCCACTAGACCACCAGTGCTTGTTACGAGTCTCTGCTATTAGGCTCAAACATGGTAAGGAACACGTGGCTGCTCCACCATCCTGGATAAGTAAAGCATTATTTGCATACCTGAATTTACCACTAGGCTGCAGATCCTATATTCTATTATTTAAAAACTAAAATAAAAAAAAAATAGCCAAAGACCTGGAATACACAATCTTGAAAAAAAGCATCAAATAGGAAGTCTCATACTACCTTAATTTAAAATTTATTATAAAGTCACAGTAATCTAACAGAGAGATACTGGCACAGGAACATACGATGCAATAAAACAATGGAAAAGAAGTGAGACCTAGAAATGAACTAAACATCTAGAGTTAACTGATTTTTTACAAAGGTTTCAAGCCCATATGATGTGGAAGAAGACTAGCATCTTCAATAACAGGTGTTGGGACAGTAAGATCTACACCTGAAAAGAATGAAACTGGATTTGTACTTCACATCAAATGCAAAAATTAACGTGAATTCAGTATTAAGTAGTGGTGATGACAAATAATCAGAGACCCCAGAAATCACAGTTCGGCCTCTTCTTCTCCTCCTTCCCTCTTCTATTTACAGACACCCCAAACTGTCCAGTAGGTAGCAAAGCAAATAGAAAAGGACATTCTAGAAGGGTAGAGAGCAGATCACTGCTGCCCAGTTGCTGTGTTAGCTGCCCTCACTCCACACATTCACAGTGAGCCCTCATCTGGCAGACTGGAGCTGAGCTGGGCTTTCTTTGGCTCTGTCATAGAAAAGAGTGCTGGTGGCCTAGTGGAGTCATAACTCGAAGGTATGTGGTTCAAACCCAACAGCTGCTCTTGCAGGAAAAAAATGGACAATTTTCTCCCATGCAATTAACAGCCTCTGAAAACCCAGTGGAGGGTCAGTTATGGGTCGATTCCAATGCAACAGGACACAACCATAATATACTTACTGCATTCCTTACCTTTCTTAACTCACTGCACTTGTAAATTTCCTTATTCTTTTTTTTTATTCATTTATGTTTATCTACCTTCATCTACTTTTCTGTGAATTTATTGTTTGTTTTTTCTGTATGTGTCGAAGTTTTTTCAGTGTATGTCTTCACCTATATGCATATATATTTTTTGCTCCTAAGTTTGTTCTTCTTATTCTTATGCTATTTTGTCACACTCCTTCCTCTTCCTTCTCTTTATTAATTTGCACTTATCTAATTACGGAATACAACTTTGAGTCCTTCCTTTTTTAAAAAATATTTTATTGGTTTGCATACAAAATTAGTTTACATTGTCTTTCCTTCATTCACATTTTGTTTCATACAATTTTTATTTTATTGGTTTATTTGCAAAATTTGTATACATTGTTTTTCACACCAGATCTTTCCCATTTCCTTAATCCACCCCTCCCTCCACCCATCAAATTGTGCGACCCCATCCTCACTCCACTGATCCTACTCTTGCCTCCTTAGAGCCTCATTCACATTTTAGTAGTGTTAAAACTGCTAGAAATAGTGCTATAATAATGGTTTCTAAACAGTGTTTGTCCTTATGGGACTGAGTTACTTCACTCATCATAATGCTCTCCAGTCCCTCCCAAGTTAGGCAGCAATTTACAAAATCATTGCTCCCGCATGCTGCATAGTATTCCATTGTATGAATGTACCATAATTTCCCAATCCATTTGATCATTTCTTTAAGGCTTCAGACAGAAAGATGACTGTATTTCTGATTTTAAAAAAAAACCACTATGATTTTGTTTGTCTGTTTTATTGTGATCTAAGTGAAAATTTACAAATCCAAGTGGTTTCCATTCAACTATTCACACCCATTTTATATTATGACATAAATTACATTATATACAATGTAACAGCCCACTTCCCATTTCTCACCTGCCTCCATTTCCTCCCTATTGTTTGCATGAATATTTCTAACTTACCAGCCTGTATTCTAAAATGCTGTCCTTCTTGATCTTATGTGAATGTAATTGTTTTTAAATTATATTATTTAAATTACACTAATTGGACGGAGTAGCATCTACTTCCTAAACAAGAAGCCTGGAAATTCTACGAACTTTGAGAAACAATGATAGTTATAGAAAGGCTTCAGGTCTTTTGTTCAGGGTCACTGAGTTGTGTTTGATTTGATAGCAATCAACAAGAACAAAAAGTGATTTACTCAGAAGGTCAATGCCATGGTAAGTTCTACTTACTTAGCAGAGTATAAAAATTTTACAATGAATAAGGCTTCTGGCCCAAAAAAGTCATAAAACTTACCACATGAATTCACCAGTCTAGATTACTAAAAAACCAGCACGTGATATGTATGTCTAATATGCAATTTTTTTTAAAAATTTAAATTTTGTTAAATAGTTATACTCTTTAATCGGATGGAACTTTATTAAGGTTTTGTAAATTTATTGGCTGTCCAAGTTGTGATGGCTTTGACATTGTCACAGTTTTATTACCAACTCACAGAATTTCTATGAATGTAAAACAGGTCTGCAAAAGAAAGGATGATGACCCACCAATCCAAATCGGATGATAAAAAAAGATGGTTAAAATCAGAAACTCCCACTCCTAGTTCTTAGATTATTACCACTCATCTGAGTGCCCATCCATTCTGTCTTTCATGTGTGGGGTTTGGTTTGGGGTTGGGTTTGATTTTGTGTGTGTGTGTGTGTGTGTGTGTGTGCATGCGCGCGCTATTAATTTTATTCTCCATGAACACAAATATAGTAAATAGTTTCTGTTTTCATTTGGAATATGCTAAAATAATTTTCTTCTCTTTCTGTAAGGTCTACTAGATAACGCCGTGGAAAAATGTAAAAGAACTTCCTCGTCATGAAGAGAAAATAAGATATTAAGGCCTTAAAAGTTATAAGGAAATCCAAAACCAAGCTCTATTTCACTGAATAGACAACAATTATACTGAGGTCCCTGTAAGGGAGCTCATGTGGCTTAGTTGTAAGGAATTGCACTGATAATAAAAAGGCATGCAGTTCAAATCCACTAGCTGCTCTGTGGCAGAAAGACGGGCCATCACCTCCATGTGATTTACAGCCTCTGCAAACTTGCTGGAGGGTCAGCTGTGACTTGGTTTCACCTCAATGGTACACAAGATTTTTCACAAGAGTTGTCATTCTCCACACATACAGCCCACTTGGTGGCACGCTTATGGCTTTCTGAAACCCACCTGGTTAGCTATAAGTTGGTTCCAACTCAATGGTAATACGTGGTATGCCCCAGGACAGCGTGTTACTTTGCCACTTAACATGTCCAGAAGAGACTGACAATGAATCATTTCCCTCCTACTCAAGGATCTTGGCTACAATCCTAAGTGAGGCAGTATGGAAGAAAAATGATGACAGCACAGATTGGATTAAAATGAACCAAGGTAAGGTACTGACCTGTCATACGCAGCAATCATGAAGTTGAGGAGAAGGCTGATGGACTGTTCCACGCTGATCTGGTGAGTGGAAGGAAGGCGTTTGTTCAGCTGGTAGTAGATGGATGAGATGATGGTTTCAAGGCGGGACACACTGATCTCAGTATTATGGTCCAGTGTATTAAGGCCATTATCTCGGAAGGCTTCTATCATGTTCCAGATATCAACAAGATGAACTGAAAATATGCAGAAAACACACCATCAGCAATTTGAAAGTGTGGAACTTGTTTCACAGCGGAACGTTAATTCTATCCATTACCATACAGGCAAATACCCTCAAGAACACGGTGTCACATATAATGCACCAAAACAATCACATCTGGTTAAACTGCTCCTACATAGCACACCTATGCATGGACCATGAATGTCCTTTAATATTTCTTAAACTAAATTTCTTCCTTATTCACCCATCTTTCCATATAAAAAAAATAAATGATGTTTATCTGTTCATTTTCTCTAGTGTTATAAAAATAATTCAAACTGTTACTTCAGGCCAAACTTGTGTAATAAAGGTATAAGCGAGGATCTAATAGTCCTGTGTTGAGTTTAGCAGTCCACTAGGAAAAAGACGTTCAACAAGATGGTCTGACACAGTGACTGGAGCAATGGCCTGAGCGGGACAGACGGTGAGGATGTCGCAGGACAGGGCAAGACTCAGATCTGTCGTTCACAGGGTCGCTGTGAGTCACAGTTGCCTAACAACAAGTAAAAAGAAAATAAACAGCTGAAACTGCACACTTGCTTCCACAAATTTAAAATTACCACGACTATGCATTAGCTCAATTGTTGAATGTGAAAATCTTATCAGGTGGTCTCAAGTAAAATCTAGTCATGTTGTTGTTGTTGTTGTGTTGGAACCGACCCACAGTTGAGGCTCTGGTGGGTTTCCAGAGACAGTAAGTCTCACGGGAGAAGACTGTCTGTTCTTCTCCCGTAGAGCAGCTGGCAAATTCTAATCACACATCTTTGGGATTGTGGCCCAGCTTCTTAACATAGGCCAGCAGAGCTCCCTTTAGGTACATTGTTGTGGTGGTGGTGGTGGTGGCTGTGTACCTTCAAGTCGGAACTGACCCATAGCTGACCCTCTGGCAGGTTTTAGAGGCAGTTACTTGCACGGGATGAGGCTACCCATCATTTCCCCATTGGGAAGCTGGTGGCCTTGAACCACATGCCTTCACTATCGCAGCACAGCTTCTTGTCACTAGGCCGCAAGAGTTACATTTAGATCTACTTATTTTATAGGAGGTGGATGGACAGAGTCACTGTATCAGTGGGCTGAAGCATGGTCTCTACGAGCCATAGTCAAGTCAACAGTATCCAACAACAACTCCTCACTACAGTTAGCTAAGTATTAACAGAAATGTGCTCTGATAGGACAGTAGTCCAGTACTGGGCATGTTTTTGTGGGTTGAAGGGTCAGAGAGACAGATCTGAGCCCTTGTAGACTGTGTGTTCTACCTAGTAGGACCTAACTGAAGGGTGCTCTGGTGGCGAAGTCCATGGCACGGCCCTGCTGAACCTTTCTGGTGCTCTGAATCCACCAGCAGCTCTGTAAGAGAAGACAATCTGCTCCCCTTGCTTTTACAGTCTCAGAAACTAACTCAATGGAGGATCAGCTATGAGTCAGTGACAACTCTACAGCAATGAGCTGTATGAACGTCAACTAAAGTCAGCAACATGGGGTGGGGGGAGTGTTACACTATTGACAAAAACAAACACTTGTAATCCATACAATCTGAAAAAAATATGATAGTTTTTATGTTTATGGGGGGAAAAAGAACTTCTTTAGCCAACACAAGAAAAACCATTCTGTGACAGAACAGAAGTACTTTGGTCCTCTGTGGACATCAAGGACCTACCACGGTAGCCCAGGCCAGCCCCAGACTTCATATGCAATTAGCCATCACTTCAGATCTCTGCAGATATGACCCGCACAGTTCTTAATGGCAGGTAATCTGAGTGACTGCTAAGGGTATAGGTTTCCTTTCTGGAATAATAAAAATGTTCCTGAATGAGGCAGTGATATATTAAAAAGGACCAAAGTGTATACTTTATAGGGATAAATTTTACAGTAGATGAAATAGAGCCTAATTTAAAAATAAATCTAGAAGTAAAATGTCTAATTCTAGGGTGACAAGGTCATTTCATGATGCTAAAGGTTGTCATTCATCAGGAAGATAGAAGCACTTGCATCTGTTTACATATAATAATGAAAAAAATCTGGTTCTAAACTGTCCATTTGTCTAATGTTTTTAACCCTTACTTTTCTGTTTTTATTTTTTTTTTTTACCGCAGTGAAAATAAACACAACAAAGTACATGCCAGCTCAACAATTTATACATGTATAATTTAGGCCATGGTCTTTGCAATCACTTGTTATGCATCAGAGAGTTGGACAATGACCAAGGAGGATAGAAGGAGAATTGATGCCTTTGAGCTGTGGTGCTGGAGAAGAGTACTGAATGCACCATGGACTGCCAAGAAAACAAACAGATTCATCCTGGAGAGGGTTAAACCAGGCTGCTCCTTGGAGGCAAGGATTGTGAGGCTTCGTCTGACGTACTCTGGACATGTTGTGAGGAGAGACTGATCCTTGGAGAAGGACATCATGCTTGAGAGGGTGGAGGGACAGCGCAGGAGGGGAAAACCCTCTATGAGATGGATTGATTCAGTCACTAGGGTAATCGGGATGGGTGTGTCAGAGGCAGTGTGATTGGCACAGGACAGAGCAGAGTTTAGGGCTGTTGTACATAGGGTCATCATGAGTCGCAAGCGACTCGATGGCACATAACAACAACAACAACATAATTTAGTGACACTGATTACATTCTTTAAGTTGTACACACTATCCTATTCTTTTCCAAATTATTCTACCACTCATAAAAATTCACTTGTTATGTTTTTGTTAGGTGCTACTGAGTTGACTACAGCTCACAGAGACCCTACGAACAAAGGACCTGAACCCTGCTCTATCCTGTGCCATCCTCATCATCTCTGATACGCTTGAGCCCATTGTTACACTCACTATGTCATTCCATCTCGTCAAGGGCCTTCCTCTTTCACTGAGTCTCACCTTTGCATGTATGATGTCTTTTTCCAAGGACTGGCCCCAACCTAATAACATACCCAAAGTATATGAGACAATGTTTTACCATCTTTGCCTCTTAAGAGCACTCTAGTTTTATTTTCTCCAAAACATAAGCTCACTCTTCCCTATTAAAAAAAAAAATTGCCCTTTCTACCTCTCTCTCACCACCTAGTGATGCTTGAATCCGGGTGGTAAATGGACCCATTAGCCATTTTTCAGGAGAACAGTGAGGCAGTGTGCTTCCCTAAATATTAGGGTCTTTAAAACCCTATGGGGCAGTTCTACTGTGTCCTATAGGGTCACCATTAGTCAGAATTCACTAGCCATCAATGGCTTTGGTTTGTCTGATACCTAATAACAAACATCTTAAATTGCATGGGCAAAAAGTAACACAACTTTAAAGAGAAATGCAAATGTTCACAATCTCAATTTGATATATTAACATAATTCTCTGTAACTTGTAAAGCACATTTTTTATTACCAACCACATTTTTTTACAGAGGTTTTGGATTTCCATTCATTCATTGCCGCAATTTTCTCCCTGCCCACTCCTCCCCACCAGCTTGCTTCCCCCTCCGAAACCAACCACATTTTTAAAAATAAGTACAGACAGAAAAGATTTAAACTTCACATCTGAAAAAGCTAAGTAATAAATATATGGAGTACTGCCACCAAGTACTAGTGAGTTTGCTTTATTCTGAAGTACACATACAAAAACAGATTACCAACAAATATGAAACTATTAAAATTATATAAATGACATTCAGATTAAATGTTAATTTAGAAATCATTATTAAAAAAAGAAATCATTATCAAATGAGTAACTATAACAGTAAAACATCTTTAGAAGTTAAGAAACACTCTACTAAGAAAAATTCTTAATCTGATTAAGGCTATCATCAAAAACCCTGCAATAAAACTATACTTAATAGAAAAATGTTGAAAGCCTTTGTTCTGATACTAGGAAAGAGATAAATTTTAGAAATGAAGACACGTAATGTCATCAGACGACAATGAAGAGAATGACAAATGTTCTATACCTAAATTGCTAAAGAAAGATTGCTAGACACAAAGTTAAGATTTAAAAAATCAATTTTATTTCTGTACTTTAGTGACAGTGAAATTTAAAGGTACTATTTAAACAGCACAGGCTCTGAAGACTTAGTGGTAAGGAGTTGTGCTAGCAAATGGCAAACAGTTCACATTCACCAAATACTCCGCCAGAGGATGGACAGTCTCCTCCTGTGTGATTTACTGCCTCTGAAACCCCTGTAGAGTCATCTATGAGTCAGTGCTGACTTGATGGTACACAACAACAACAACATGTAAGCAGTACAATCAGTGGCAGTGAAATTCAAAGGCATCTCTCTGGCGGCTTGAATCCACAAATGGGTCCAAAGGCATAGGATGAACAATCGTCTCCCATGCTACTTTTATTTTAACCTCTGAAAACCCAGAGGGTCAGTTATGGATCAGTGCCAACTCAACAGAAATGAGGTTTTTTGGTGATTTGTGGGGGGTTTTTGTTTGTTTAGTTTATTTCTAATAGTATCATAAATCAGGGGGCTCTGGTGGTCTAGTTCATAGGGAGTTGATTTGCTAGCCAAAAGGTGGCACATCTCCAGCAGTTCCAATCCACCAGTGGCTCTGCAGGAGAAAGATGGGCACTCTGCTGCAGTGTAATTTACATCCTCCTGAAAACCCATTAGAGGGTCAGCTATGATCAGTTCCAACTTGATGGTAATGAGAGTAATTAGTTTATCATAAATCATCAAATATAGAAATAAGTCAGTGAAAGGTGTTCAACAACATATAAAAATACCTATAAACAGAGCACTCAGAAGCAATGATTTCAAAAAATACTATGTAACTTGGTAGAGGCTGGAGAGCATCACGCTGAATGAACTAACACAGTCTCATAAGGATAAATACTGCATAAGACCATTACTGTAACAAATAGAAGGATAACAAGTAAAGCATATATGAGAACCCAAGGGGAAGAAGTGGAAGGATGGGTAGGGGTGAAATCACAGGGTTGCAGAGTTTGGTGGGTGGAGGGAGGGGGAAAAGAAAATGGGAAGAATCCAGGCAAAAAGACAGGGTAATGGTGGGCAAGGTGCAATGGTGATTAATTTTAGAAAGCATAATGCATGAGAATGATTGAATGAAACAAAATGTGAATGAAGAATAGTGTGAAACACAATGTATATAAATTTTTTAAGCAAACCAATAACAAAAGGACAAAATCTATAAATACTTCTGACAGAAATGGAGGACCTAAATAAATGAAGCAATATTAAATGTTCACAGAAGAAAAAGTCAATATTGAAATGTTAATTCTTTATAACTTCATGAACAGATTCAAAAACTCTCAGTCAAAATCCTAACAGAACTATATACTATATGACATCAAGAAGAAAAAATATTCCAACAGGGTCCTTTTGTTTTATTTTTAGTAGAAATGAACAAGCATATTCTAAAATTTATATAAATATAAATAACTGAATGAACAGACACAATGCATATTTTAATTAATGTTCTAAAATAATGTGTATAGGTGATTAAATGCAAACCCAACATGCTTTGTAAGTGTTTATTAAAATCACAATTTTTTTTAAAAAGTTCAATTAAACATAAAGGATCAAGAGTTTCAAACAAAACCCTTAAGGGGAAAAACACAAGATGGAAGACTTCCTTTGTTAACTATCTAGACTATATATATTTAAGGGAGCTCTGGTAGCCTAGTGAGTAAGAAGTCACACTGTCAACCCAGAGACAGGTAGTTTGAATCCACCAGCTGCTCTGTGAGAGGAAGATGGACAATCTTCTCTCCTGAGATTCACAGCCTCTGAAAAACTCTGAAAAGGGTCAGCTATGAGTCAGTTCCAACTTGACAGTATATAATACCAACAAATTTTTAAAACAATATGGTACATGGCGAAAGAATGGAAAAATGGACCAAAGGGACCCATAAGCCTACAAACAGATTTCTTATCTACGAATATGCTATGAAAATTCTTCTACATTTCTCCTAATGAATATGAGGTTTAGATACTCAATTAGTGAAGAAAAACAATAGCATTTTCAATAAATAGTACATGAACAATTCAAAACACATATGAAAAAACTGAAATTGGACCAGTGCATCTACCATGCTATTGTCAGGCACCTTCAGTGGGTTCTGGCTGATAAATCTATATAGAGCAGAGTGAAATACTACCTGGTCCTACGTCACCCTCACAACTATTGTTCTTTGAATTCATTATTGTAGTCACTGTGTTAATCCATCGTCCTGGTGGTCTTATACGTCACTAATTCTCTATTCTTCCATGCATGATGTCCTTTCCCAGAGACGGGTCCTTTCTGGTAATACATCCAAAGTCCACAACATAAAGTATCCTCAGCCTCACTTCAAACAAGCATCCTGACTGTACTTCCAAGACTCGTTTGCTTGTTCTTCTGGCAGTCAATGGTAAATTGGATTATCTTCACCAGCATCATAACTCAAATGCATCAATTCTTCCTGTCTTCTTTACTTATTGTTTAATTTTCACACACGTCTCAACTTCTCAACACACTGCCAACGAGTTGGAACCAACTCCGAGCTGACCCTCCAGCAGGTTTTCTGAGGCTGTAAATCACACTGAAGGAGACTGCTCACCTTTCTCCGGAGGAGCAGCTGGCAGATTTGAACCGCTTGCCTTTGGATTGACAGCACAACTCCTTTCCCGTGCGTAGGTTGTTCTTGGGTGGGATAGACTCGGTCTATCCCACCTGAATTTCAGAACCATCTCAGGAACAGATTTGAGGCTTTAAACACTAATGAACGAAGGCCAGATGAGTTGTGGGAGGATATCAAGGGGATCATCCAGGAAGAGTGCAAACGGTCATTGCAAAGACAGAAGAG